CTGGAGTACAACTAATAGAGAAACATTTACCATCAGACACTTATTAGTAAATGCCATTTATTCCCATTCCTACACAGGGCATATTTTACATTCAGATTCCCTTTGCTTTTCTGCAGTATATGTTCAGTTGCTAATCATATTCCACAATTAATGGGTTGAAGCATCACAAAAGAACAAACCTGTGAAACATAATTTTAGTTTTACCACATGATTCCTCACGTCTCCGAAGTGACTGGCACAGGACACCTCATAGGACTTTTCAATTTACATTATGGTATTTGACAGAGAACCCCACTGATCTGCCTATCATTACTTGCCTTCTTGGAGGTGGAAGATGCTTTGTAGTTGGAGCTGTACTGGTGTCAATCTAAGGTTATTAACTATGTAAGATTATGTTCTTATACCCTGACAACTTTTTTGGAACAAAGAAATGTATTTGTACAATATTGTTTAACGATATTTTTTTGGGGCAAAATATAAATACATTTAGGTGGTAAAATAAATCTTGTAATGCCAAGGAAGTGTTGAAATGAATAGCTTCTTGGAAGGATCTATGCCACCCAAGAGACAGACTTTGTGGCCGAGAGATGATGTTCACAGCTTTTTCCCCAGTTTGTACCATTTTTTGCCATCCTGACCTTGTGGAAACTTGGGAGAAGATGCTTCCATTTTTATGGAACGCTAATGTGTTAGGAATAACAGTATGTATTTCTAAATTGTTATTTTCACTTTCTCTAGTTATAGAGGTACCCCCCACCCCATGTGTGACATGAAAATAGTAAATTAAAGCTTTTTATAGTACCAAGGATCCCTCCGCGCGGTTTACCTCTCTTCTTCTTGTAGCTATGGTTTGGCGGGTGGAGGTTATTAATATAATAAAAGGGTGGAGGACAAACCAACCCATATATATATAATAAATAATATTTTAATTAGCTATTGTGGCGACAAATGACTTAAAAATCACTGTCATATCACAGTTGTAATCTCAGTTTATTCTTTACAAAAAACTTTTATATTATGTTTGTTTTTTTCCCAAGATACATGTGTCACATAAAGCGTGCAAAACTCTCTCTCTGCAGTAGTCATCAATACATAAATATATCCAGGCAGCTTGATGGAGCTTTGTAATGCTTTGAAGTGGCTCTGTTTTTGTTGCAGATAATTTGTTTTGTTCCACACCTGCAAACTTCCATACAATCATCTTGACTGCTCAGAACCTCTTCATGTGTCCATATAGGGAGTTGAGCATTCATGTTCTCGTTGGTCAATTGTTTTCCCTGTTGAGTAAACCAGTATCCTGTAATGTTTGTATAGATTTCTTGTCATATACATACTGAGCAGCACTCTAATAGTTAACCTTTAATACTGGCGTGGTTTAAGCAAATCAATTGTTGCAGTTGTCTCATATCGTTTTTGAGAAGATATAGAGGATGACAATGGGCCAATCCTTAGCATATGGACACATTAAAGAGAAAGAGATAAATAGACGCAATTCTTATGCCATCTACTATTTAAAACACATTTTTCAGCTGAAAGATCAACATTAAGAAACTAGGGAACTATATTAGTGACACTTTAGGAATCAAAACAACTTTAGCTTAATGAAGATGCTTTGGTGTTAGGAACATCCCTCTGCAGTCTCACTAATCAATTCTCTGTCAATTAGGAGTCAAATAACATTGGTCAATCAGATCTTTACTTGCTTTAGAAGATTTTATATCCTGCTCTGTAAATACAATTTAAAATCACTAACAGGAGTCTCCTGCCGGGTCCTAAGTATAGTGTGGCGGAACCAACCTCGCCACTGTACACTGGAGAAGCCTGGTTGCTCGCCTGCTCCCTTTAGACTATGACCCTGCAGTTCAGCCCTGTTATATCTCCTACTGAAAGGTTTATTCATGCCTTTCTGCCGGGGTGTTCAGTAGATTCAATCTACCGAACAAACTACCGAACGATGGACCACCTGGGAGCTGGAGTGTGCCGTCAATTGACCGCCCAGAAGCTGCGGTTAACCGCAACTTAATTGATGAACGCTGGGTGGCCTTTGTTCGTCTGCCGAACACGTGGCAGTGGCCATTTTACCTCCCAAACGGCCAGCGGTGTTCAGCACCCAAACTATGGAACTGAAAACGGGCACTTGTTGGCGCGAACACCGCAGAGCCGCCAGCCTCCTTACCTTCCCATTCGGTAGCATAACCGAATGACTGTTCATTCGGTAGTTTAACCGGATGAACAGCATCACCCATGGCGATTAAACTGTATGTATGTGATCTGAGCGCCATTCGGTAGTAATGTGCGCTCAGATCTAAGCTATCTGGGGATTTGTAGAATGTATATGTTTTAGGTAATAAATGTAACTGTATGTAATTTTATGTCTTTTACTGTATTTTTACTGCCATGCGGTTAATGGAGTTTTGCCTCTGTCTTTGGAGATAATTGGATTACTTCCCAATTATCTCCAAGACAGAGAGGAGGGATTGTGATGCATTGTGGGAGTGTGTAAAGGTGTATGTATGTGATTGGCTAAGAGCCAATATGTTTCCCAGTTTCCCATCTGGTCCCCTAGGGGAGTGTCTACAAGGTAGGAGACCTGCATAAAAGCCGGGCAGTTAGCCCCAGTAAACCAGATTCAGCTTGACCCTCAAACCGAAGTGTCGTCTCGTCTTTGGGGGGATTTACTGTATGCTGTTAGAGACTGATTGCCAGGAGTGTAAGCTGCTTGGGGGCTTTTCCTGTTCGTCTGCTAACAGCTATTCGTGTGTCTCCAGTTCGGGAGTTTGGAGTGCTACTTGGTATGCAGTTCGGGAGTTGGTGAATTCGTGGGTTTGCAGTTCGGGAGATTGGTGCTTGCAGTAGCTGTCGGTGCATCTGAAAAAGGGGAATATCGCCTAAACGGTTTTTAACCTCTTGTGGGCAAAACAGTCCATTACAGATAGTAACAAAGCAGGGGAGAGTCACCTAGAGGGGCTGGGGAAAAGGCAAAAGAGACAGATAGAGGCTTTAACTAAACCCATTAGATTTTAGTTGTTTTGACTAAAATCTACTATAGATTTAGTCGACTAAAACTAAAACAATTCACATGACTAAAGTATGACTAAAACTATAATGGCTTTTTAGTAAAACAAAAAAAAAAAAATATATTACTAAAACTAAATTGCAGCCATAATTGACACTGGCTTGAAAGAGGACATAGTATCCCTTTACACACTCTTATGCAAACATACCTACACATTCATTCACACACTTACACTTTTTTTCTTCTTCGGACTTGCACGGAGTGTCTGATGCCGGCACATGACATCATCGTTATATCTGGTGGTATTTGGCTCTGTATATAACAAGAATCAATGTGCATGTGTTGCGCTTTTTTTTAAATTTTATTATTTTTTTTTTCACAATTGACAGTTGGCCTCCATACATTTTTAACAGCAATGCATAGATAAAAAGAAAACAAACAAAACACATGTTCATTCGATAATTCATACTTTGAAATGGAAAAAAGAAATACCTTAAGCTACTGCTATATGGCTAATTTCATCTTAGCCAAAAGCTCTTTACTTTTCATCCCTCAATTACCTTGATTACCTATTCTTCGCCATTTCTACTTGCCACCAGCCCTTCCCCTAACAAATAAGGATAGCTGGCAGAGAGGGCGAAGGAGGCAGTCCCCGCCTACTAAGTTGCTCTTCACACCTGGGATGCTCTAAGGCGGCCTTCTGAGGCTCATGCCTGATGCCCATGATTTTATCATGATCATTTGTGGGCTTGAAAATAACAGGAAGCGCCCGTAATTGCTGACCCCTGATTTAAAGAAATAATTTTAACAGCTATTGAAGAACTGACTACAACTGATGGCTAAAGCTGTCATTTGTGAAATAACTGCTGAATTATCAATTGCAGTCAATTCCCAACATTTCCTATTTTAATGAATAAACTCTTTGACATGGATTTCCTTCATCCTTCTTATTACAACTACAATGATTTGCTAGAATTACCCTAATTTCACTTTACTGGAACCTAGAACATTCAGAAAAGAGGCAGCTGGGGTCAGGGCCGGCGCTACCATTAGGGCGAATAAGGCATTCGCCTGGGGTTCTGGGCTCTGGGGGGGAACCCACCGGGTGGTTTCCCGGTGGGCTGCCCTGCTGCTGTCTGGGGATGCTGTGCTGGGCGAGCAGCTCCTTAGCCACCCCCCCCCCAGCGCAGCGCAGCCATTCAACGGCTCCTTAGCCACCCCCAGCGCCCTGTGCGAAATGTCTTCACAGCCCCCCCATTATACATGTTCATCCCTATATGAGTGTGTGTAGGTTTGTATAGGGGATTTATTAAATGAATAATGATTTAGAAACAAATATTAGTTCCCCCTTCCCTGTTACCTTGCAGTGAGAGTGGAATGCAGATCTCTGGTGTTCCCTCTCCTGTAAATTACCAGCTTGGGGAGCTGAATGTGCTGTATCCCCAGCTGGACCCAGGTAAGTGACAGAAGGAGTTTTAACCCCTTCTGCACCACGAGGGGAGTGCGCTTGACAGAGGGGGAAGCTATAGTGCCAGGATAACGAGTTTGTTTTCCTGGCACTAGTGTTTCCCTTTAATATCTACTCAGTGCGTCTCTTTCCCTAAATGTCTCTTCACTGTAATTCAGAGTTCAGTGAATAAACACCTGATGGAATATAATAGCATACATTAAGGGTCAGCAAAATGGATTGTTGTCTAGGGAGGCAAGAATCCTTGCATCGGCCCTGGCTGGGGTGGATCTGGGTACATATAAAGCCATATGTGCATATTGCTGTAGATAGAAGAATGCATTTCCTTTTAAAACACTAGTGAATTAAGGAAAGTCTTCACAGCCCCTCCCCTCCCCCCATTATACATGTTCATCCCTATATGAGTGTGTGAGTGTGTCTATATATATATATATATGTAAATAAAAGTGTGTAGGTTTGTATAGGGGATTTGTTAAATTAATAATGATTTAGAAACAAATATTAGTTCCCCCTTCCCTGTTACCTTGCAGAGTGGAATGCAGATCTCTGGTGTTCCAGTGTGCAGGAAATCTGATCTGCCCCTTCACAGGGTGCAGACTGAGTAACTGTCTCGTGAGCTTAGGCATTAACAATGTCAGAGCTTTCCTCTGGTAATCTGCAGCAACGCACTGATAGGCCGAAGCTCGGAAGACAGCTACTTATGGTCTGCAGCCAGCAGAGAAGTGCAGGCCAAAGGTGCCAGATTGCTTCCGCTGCATTACAGAGGGGCAAACTAAGAATGTCACATAATACTGTGATGCACAGTTACAGGCAGACAGTCACACACACACACTCATTTACAGGCAGTCACACACACACACACACATACTCTGTTGCCTGTATACAGTCACACAAACAGTTACAAGCAGACAGTCAGACACGCTCAGTTACAGGCAGACAGTCACACATACTCAGTTACAGGCAGACAGTCACACATACTCAGTTACAGGCAGACAGTCACACATACTCAGTTACAGGCAAACAGTAACAGGCTCACACACTGTTACAGGCAGGCAGATACGCACGCAGATAGGCACACACACACTCTGTTAGAGACAGACAGTCACACACACAGTTGAAGTCACACATACAGGCAAACACAAAGGCACAGCTACAGCCACACACACAGTTACAGTCACACACAGGAGACAGTCACACTCATGACGGGGCTTTCACGAATAACAGGCCCGGCTTCCTCTCCTTTCTCCAAGGATCAAGGCCCTGCAACAGGCCAGGGTCAGCCACCACCCTCTTCGACATGAGGCCTGGTCCGGTATAGGAACCAGTGTTTCTCAGAATTTTCCCCTGCAGGCTCGGAAGTGAGTGGGCTCGCCGCTGGGGCTGAGAATGCAGACATTGGTGGAGCCGCTGCCAAAAAGCTACAAAGATTCTGTCAAGGCGGGCTGTGAAGTCGGCTTGCTCCCCATATGGAACAGTGGGCCTCGTGACATCCACCATTTTTTTTTAGAGAGGGCCCGCAGGCTGTGGTGAGTCAGCAGGATCTCCACGGGGTGGACCGAGATGACCCCCGGAAATCTAGATGGGGGTAATGGGGCAATTATGGGATACCACCAAGGCTCTGGACACTCAAGTTCGGTAGATCAGCAACCTCTCCCGCTCAGCATGTACACCAGGCCGCACTGCGTCGAGTCAAGTATACCGGTAATTGGTAAGCTGGATAACATTTAATTGAGTCCCGGTACTCTGCTTCGGTTAGGGAGCATGAGAGGCACTACTGGAGTCATGCAGGGAGCAATAAAGGGCAGATATATAGGTAAACATCCCCTACAAGTGAGAACTCGTGTGACTATCCGCCATTGAGGTCAGCCCCACCCCATGAGTATGGATTAACCACCACAAACATCAAAATAATTGTTCTTGATGGTTATCTGAAGATCCAGCCACTTCCAAATCCATGTCAAAGAGTTTATTTATTAAAATAGGAAATGTTGGGTATTATGGTTTTGTAGACTGGCCAGACTTAACAGCAAGGTTAATCAAAGAGCAAACCAAAGTCAAGGACAGAAAACAGGATAATTGGAATAGACAAGACAAGGGTCGGAGTAGTGAATAAATGGATAAACTTGCCTAGGTCAAACTTCAGATTAGAACTACAAAGGAACAAGACATTGGGTCAGCAAGAATGACAACAGGGCACCTAGCTAGAGGCAGAATTGGTTAAATAAAAAATGGCAAATATGTATTGGTACTGGTCAGTCCCATGTGCCAAAAGGTACTTGAGCAGCATGGAGCAGGCCTCATGTCACCAATGATTCCAGAATGAGAAGATCTATAATAATTAAACATATTCTTAGTCATGTCAAGAATGATGACAGATTGATGTGACCCTACAGCAATAGAAGTGTTTGTATGGGTATAGCATATTCGTTGAAAATGATGCCATGCAGAAGGGAGATGGCTCTGGCATGCGTGACACACATTCAATTTATGTACAGTTTGCTGGCTTTTGCGAATCAGCATTTCAAAAATGCCCACAGATTCCTAACTAATGCACATTATTGGCAGTTGATCTTTTACATTCTACTGTATTCATTGCTCTTTTTTTTTTTATAAAATAGATAAGAAAACATGCTTGTATTGCTAACCACATTATTGGCAGTTGATCTTTTACATTCTACTGTATTCATTGCTCCATGCTTGTATTGCTAACCAAGTTGTAATAGTTGCCCTTGAACTACATTCTGCATATGGTATTGCTGTTTTTTGCTTATTTAATGTGCTAGTGGTTCACTCAGGGTTCAAATAAATGTCATTCGTTGAAAAATAGTAAATAGATTCAAAATTCACTTTAGCTTGCATTCATATATTGCCTTGAGCTTATGACCAGGATTTACTCTGTCAGTTCAGCAGAAGCAACTTTAGTGGCTGTCAGGTAAGACAGCCACTAGAGGTAGATTTAACCTTGCAATGTAAACATTGCAGCTACTAAAAAAAAAAAAAAATGTATTACATTGTAGGGTTAAAATGACAGGACCACTGCACCCAGACCAGCTGCGTGTGACAGGAGCACAAATATTGTATACTCCCTACTGACATATTCTAAACTCCCTACTGGGATTCTCTCTAAAACAGTAGTTGAGGAGCCAACTTGCAAGGAGGCCATACTAGATTTTGTGTTAACAAACAGATTTGGTATCAGATATTACTGTAGGTGAAAGTTTAGGATCCAGTGATCACCAGTCAGCGTGGTTTGATATAAGAACATGACTGAGTCACATCACACAAAAACAAAAGTTTTAGATTTTAGAAAAACAGACTTTTCTAACGTTAGAATATATGTAAAGTAGTCACTGTCAGACTGGGGCAGTTTAAATGGAGTCCAAGAGAAATTTGATTATTTAAAAGTTGCACTGCTGAAGGCAACAGAAGTTGCATTAGGCTTGTCAGTAAGAGCAGAAAAATTAAGAAACCACTGTGGTACTCCGCAGAAGTGGCCAAAATAGTAAAAAAACTCAAAGTTAGCATTTAGTAATCATAAATAAAAACAGAGTGAGGAAGATAGACAGATCTATAGGACGTAAGCAAGTTATACAAGCTTCCAAATCACACTTCAGTAGTGGGGAAAGTAATGGAAACCATGTTAAAGGATAGGATTGTCGAACATCTAAAAACACATGGATTTCAAGATCAGAGACAACATGGGTTTACTTCAGGGAGATCATGCCAAACTAAGAAGGAGGGAAATATACAGCGCCAGTAGAGGAGGGAGATACTCCTCACCGAAGTTGTAGGGTACTGTGGGCATAACCCAATGTAAAGATGATGAGAAGGGCAAAAAGAGACTTACACAAAAGAGGCAAGCCTAATAACAGTCCTATTACCTTGATAGAGGCTTTAGTGTAAGGCAAAAAACTGCCTAATTTAATAAAAACCCAAAGAAAAAAAATAACTTTATTAAATCCCTAGTTGGGTATACAAATACAAAACAAAAAAGAATGAGATGTGTGATTTACAAAGTGCAAAAAAGAATAGAAGACAAAACGTAAATTAGTTAAAATAGGACCATTCACTGTAGCCTGTTGTAACAGGTTTGAGTTATACCTGATACAGTGTTGCCAAATGGTAGCCGATCTAACGGCTAAGTGGACTGGATGTTTATCAGGGAGAAATAATGAACTGTAACAAGGTAATAGTATCCTATGCATGTAGTTACAAAGAACCTTGATATATTGATATCTCAGGTCTGGAAAGGACCTCAAGACATCTGCTTTATATATACATTTCTAAAGTAAGGATGTGGGTATTAGAGAGTAATAGGAATGAAGGAATACATGGGGAAAATCCAGAATAGCGAATCCCAGATTTACATTTGCGATCAGGAAGCTATCATTGGAAAGGAGTATAGACATATATGAGATAAATCCCCTATTGCAAAAACCCTTATTTGATTGCCATGCTGCAAATTGCTGTGGGCAGCTGCAGGATATCAATGAGGACTCTATGTTTCGAGACCATCTCATTGAGCTGAACTAGTCTTGGTGACAAGGCAATGTTTCAACTCCCAACAGTTCTTTTAATCTCTATTGATTCAATTTTAAACTTCAGTTACATGTTTAATAAATACATGCAGCACATATAATTTAAGAGCTTTTCTGCAACAGTTTTGAAGCATCTATTCCTTAAAAACAAGATAATACATCTTGCTATATTACAAAAGAGTGGTTACTCCTGCTAACATTAACACAGATTTGTAACAAAAATAGTCCATGATTTGACAAAACATACCTATATATTAAAGTTGTATAAAAAATGAAGAAACAATAGGGAGTTAGCAGCATAAAACACAGAAGCATCTCCCCGGGTGTTTAGCTAATGCGTTTCGTGCTAGGCTAGGTTCTAGTGTACTACTGGCATATTTAAACATACATCCCAATATTCAGTTAATTGGGGTGAAACATTAATCCTCCATATACCAAAAGAGAGTGAACGAGATGTCCCAAACAAACCAACATTAATAGGAAACAGATCAAACAACACGTAAATGAAAAAATAAAACGTTAGATATAATGAATAATAAATGAAAAATAAAAAGCATGATTCATTAGCACAATGAAAAGCACACCTGGAGAGATGCTTAACTGAAAATGCAGAATTTACAAATTAAGAATCACTGTGGAAAGAAAAAGTAAAAGGATACTTTTGAGTGTAAAAAAAAAAAACTAAACTTTCCAAAAAGCAAAAAACCCTCTTAATACCTTCTGTATTAGTGGTTTGAATAAGAAAATGTTCCAGAAAATGTACCACGGAGTTGTGTGTGGCTCCTAATACAAGGCCTGCGTGGCAGTTTAGTTTGCACATCACATAAACACTTATTGTGGAGAGATAATAGAAAATACTGCAAATAGGATCATACCTTTATGGGCATATAATTCCGTTATCTCCGCAACCTTTATAAGTGTGCCAATCATAATGTCAGTTTGCGACTGTTGTCTTTGAGCTGCCCAATGGAAAGTTTCCCTCAATTGGTAAACAATTTAAGTATTACATTTATGAGAGAAAAGAAAATCTAAAAATGATTTGGTATCTCAAGCTCACTATGGATACCAGAAGGCCCACGGGTGTGTAACTTGAAAATCCATTTAACTTCACAAAAGTCCATTTTGGACTTGCAATCGCTACCCTACCTGGTTTCACAATCCTATCAATGCCTTGTAAAGAGAATTTAGAAACATCTGAATTTTTGCACATAAAGAAGTGAAATGCTATCGAAGAATTAACATCATTGCGTTCAAGGGCAACAATGTGCTCACGTATTCCATTCTTTAGCAATCTCGTAGTTTGACCAACATATAAATCTTGCTATTCACAAGTTTAAAAGGAATGGACATGAATTAAGAAACAACTCGTGTAGATAGCTGCTTTTTGTCAGTACGCAAACAGTAAATGCCAATATAAGTTATTTCTGTAATTTTCTTCAATAGGTAAACGGAAAACACCAATATAAGTTATTTCCATGGGTTGGAAACAAACCAGAGTTGTTTAGCAGATCACTTTTTTGCAATATAAGACACTGCACACTCAAGGGAGAAAAAAAAAACTTTATGTTACTTTAAGACATGGTTATTTATTTGAATATGGAACAGCTCTGCATCTTAATACAGTGACTTATGGAATAATTTTGAGTAGTATACATTTTCTTCAAAATAAATATAGCTTATCTTGCACAAATCAAGTTTGTGGAAGTTAAATCACAATAAGAATATTTGAATACTACTGAACAAATACACCAGATTTACCAACATGTATTTTATATACTGAATATTACTATTTGAATTAATAGACAAACCTGCCAGCCTTTGTGCTTAGACATTCCTTTAAGTTGCCTTATTGGCAGTGTTGCAGCATTAAAGCAGTACTTCTATACACTTTCATAGTCAAATATTACCCTGTAGCTGTTACTAAGTGGAATATATAGTGGGGAAAAAATGACATTTTATAGAAACAGATCCAGTGAAGTACAGATGGTCTTGCTTTAAAAACACATTTCTTTTGGTGAAAATAGTAATGGAAACTACACTTTATGTATTCTAAAGAAAACTCCTTTGCCAAGAAAAACAAACACTTAAAATCTCTAGGTTATAAGAACATGAGATGTAACTTCATAATACAAAAAAAGTCAAATAGATAAAATATGCTGTCTTACAAAATTATAAATCCTATGGGTGTGTTCTTTTTGTGAATGTGTTACCCACAGTCTCCTTACCTTTAAAAGGTACACATTTTTTACTTAAAACAATTAAGTTAATCCAAACTTTTTTACCCAAGAGAGGAAATGTTTTTTTAAAGGTTGAGACTGATTAGGGCTACGGTAAAGAAGGGGCACTTTAGGATTTGCACCTACTCCTGAAGATTCACCATAGCCAGGACATTGAATTTTGCAAGCAGAAAGCAAGCTCGAAAGATGTCCATCTTAGCAGTAAACAAATTCAGACAGAACATTTACATCATCAGTGGGTAGGACTCTTCTAGTACAAATCGGTTAAAGATGACAAGAATTTAGTTTTATGTTTTTTTTTTTAAAAGGGAAGCATCAGACGATTCAAATCATGTCAACTAAATATCGCTTTTAAAGTTCTATTACTAGTGTGACTGCATTGGCTGGTTGGATGTTACATTTAATGCTGCTACTTTAAAACAAATGTGCAGCTACAAAAAAAAAACCAAAATAAATAAAAGTTGCTATACCATAATACTGACGTAATGAAACCATCTGTCATTGTTATGTTCCATATATTTTCAAAATTGCAATATAATAATCATTCATAAGCCACTTTATATGGTCACTGCAATAAATTACAAGCCAAACCATTTATGAATTTTACAATGTACAAATTTTGCAATTTACAAATCAAATGTGTATAATTATGAACAAAAATATAAACCAGCTTGTTTACATACACATTTTTCTTTCAAATGCTGCACGCAATATCTCACAAGTTAAAAAAACGAACCCACCTCCACTCCCCCCCCAAAAAACCCAGTGATTTATTATATATTCTATTTTATATTTGGTTAGCTTGTAAAGATTGTACGTGCAATATGGTTTCCAGTACAGCATAAAAAGGCAGTTTAAAAAAAAAATAATATATATATATATTATTCAAAATGTACATTTAAAAATATTGATTTTTAAATACACAACATTTCATTATAACTGTCTAAATACAATGTAAATGCTTGCAAGAAAAAAGTAGATGTCTGTTCTATTCTTTTCAAGCAGAATAACACATTGGTAATTACTTGTTAATAACTATTGTAGTGTTATTGATACTTAGAACATTTTATCAGCAATACACATGTACAGGGTGGGCCAAAATTCAGAGTAGGAGTCAATAACTTTTTTTATTAAAGAACCAATTTCAGTGATATTTCATACAACGGATGCTTAATGTATAGAGATTTGTTTGACTAGGTACGTAAGATGACATCTTTTAAATGTGCTCAATTTGCCATCGGGCTCTCTTGTTGTTCATAACATTAGTTAAGGTTTGAGGATCTAGCACTCAAATTTCTGCATGGATATTCTCCTTGAACTGATCAAATGTACATGATTTGTTTATGAACATCCGCTCATTCAGATATTCCGATTGTAAGTAATCAGGAGCTGAAAGGTCAGGTGAACGTGGCAGCCAATTAATCTGGGAATTTCTTGAAATGATCTGCTTTCTGAAAAGTGGTCTCAGGAGGCACATTGTGGTCCTGGCTGTATGGGCAGTAGCGCCATTGTGTTGAAACCACAATTCAAGACAATTTTCCTCTTTGCGTCAGAATAACGGACCTGCCATTTTGAAAATGAAATTTCACTATTTTTACTTGTTGTTCCTTTGTGAAATCATTCATGATGAATCTCTTAAGACTCAATTATATGTACGTGCAACAACAAATAACTGTACTACTAACAAATACATTATTTACCTGTCAATTCCTACTCTGAATTTTGGCCCACCCTTTATATGTACGTAAAATTAAGCAACCAACAGCACAGGTTGAACATCACATATAGTTTTGCACTATTTTACATATTGTGATAGCACATTCTGCTTCTTTCTAGATATAATATATGATTTAAAAAAACAAGTTTGATAAGAATTACATAATTTAATGGGTTTTAAAAGATCCTGAAATTAAAACAATGTTACCCACAATTAACAGATAAACTAAAAACAGCTACACATTTTTTTTTTAAAAAAATTGCCAAAACTTTTAATGGAAAAAAGTTTGGTAACCTGAAAGAAATATAAATATATATATTTTTTCTTTACTAAACCACAAATTATGGAGCGTAAATTTTTGGAATGTTTGCATATATTTCTGAATGCTATAAAGCAACCATTAACATATGCAAGAGCAGTCTTAACATAAAGATCCCACTTACAACAGGATCATGTTAACCTGCAGTTAACAGTATCAATAGAAGTTTATGTAGGCACCCTTCTTATATAAAACCATTACAAAGAAGATAAATCACGGAGCAAACGTAAACATGGGATACATTCCAACAGTGTAAGGCACATCTATATTTGGTAGGGCAAGCTGGGATGTTAGATTATTAAACTTTTTTACACAGAATAGTATGTGATTGAAAGTAAAGTAATAAACTCTCCTGAGAAATATGTATTTTCTTGCATAAATAATTTGCTTTGGTTTCACTAAAAAAGTGGCATCTATTTTTACATTAGAGAAATGAAATTTGTAGATTTTGCTGAAGCATATTCAAATGTCAACTGTTTTGTGAAAATCAGCTAGACATGAACTAGTTAAACAGACACTCCAAGTACCAACACGACTTATTTGCATTTAATGCTGTGATTCATATTTATGCTGTGATTTTCAGAAATTTGAAATAAATACAGTCTGAATATGTGGCTAAACTCTATCAAATGTACTTAAAGGAAAACAGACACCGTTATTTATTACTTAAAATACAAGATTTTGTGTAATTCCTTGTTATTCTGTTTTCGTAATAAATATACACAAGTTAATTTATAGTAACTCTTTTTTTTAACGAATCTTCTCGCTTACCTTTGCTCTGCAATGGTGGTCATCTCTAGTCCCTAGTACTCTTGGGCTAAGAAGACCAAATTTTATTTTCCTGGATAAGCTTTGTGTCTGACCAAAGAGGACTTAAAGATGGCCCTCATTAGAGTAAGCCCAAAGATGCAGTTAAAATAATGGTTTACTTAAATGTATACATTACAAACTAATACACACAAATGCTACCATACAAGTGATGTTTAAAAAAAATAATAATAATAACGAACAAGTATGACAGTTTTCCTTTAAGTTAGTGTCTGAATGAGCGCAGAGTGTCCCTTTTATATAATTATTGATCATGGTGGCAGCTCTCTTTTTGTGGCAGGGTCCCAAACATGGCAATAACAAAATATAGCCATTTTGCAGACACACAAATAAGTGTATACACAGTGTAAATTTGTCAAACCACTTTGTAGAGGAGTGCATTATATATATATATATATTTTTTATATAGGAGGGATTCCTGATTAGATTAATTTTATATTATTGATAATGCCCAAAGAATTCCTGGTTGTAATTGGTGGAGCAGGCAAAGTTGACATGGGTCACATTAAATGACAAATAGGCCCAGGTAGCATAGGTTAAGCAAAAACGTGAAATAAAAGTGATCTATACCACCAACAGTCATGGGCGGATAAAAAAGCTTGTAAAATGTAGTAAAGTATGGTGCGGCTGTTCTGTTCATTAAGGCAGTTGATGATCACCACGAAAAAAAACATGTCCATGTTCCTGACGGAGTTGATACGTTTAGAAAAAAGGCTGCAATGTTATCCATCACAATGTAAAATACAATGTGTGCGAAACATCGCAGTGCTTTGCTAATACAGTTATCTCACGAAAAGAGGAATACGAGAATGCTGGAATTAAAAAAAACAAAAACATTTGTTGATGCTAAAAACTTAAACAAGTGTTCCAAAAGGCACAATGGTACCTAGTACAAGTGAATGGTTTTCCTGTAAGCAATAGAAATGTAATCACAGAGCAGTTTCAAAGATAATAAATGGTTCATTGTCTTTTGAGCTTTTCTGTGGGCTTCTTTGCTGGTTTTTATTCAAGTAAATCTAAAACAAACAAACAAAAAACAAACAGTGTTAGCTGTAATGTGAAAAATAAGGCTTTCTCTTACATTTTTTTTTAATCACAAGTTTTCTAATAGGGATAGTCTTGGATTGCCTGACATAAGGCAAACAATTTAATCCTCACAAGAATCCACAAACATGCTGTCACAAAAATCAGTGAATTAATTGGCAACCAACAGATCAACTGCATTTTCTTTCACTATTACTCAATGTAAGCTATTGCCGTATTACACTGATAAGTCGAAATCACTTTACAAACCAAAAACCACCAGATAAAATAAACAAGGTGACAAAAGAAGCATGGATTCTGGCATCAGCAAAAAAAGGGTTTCTCATTTTCACACATAAAACCAAACACAATG